GTATTCACTCTTTACTTAGAGTAATTAATGTAGAATGTCATCAGAGGAATACTCGTCAGCAATATTTTATCAAACTTATTGGAGTTATATTTGGTTAAAGGTCCATTGCCCATGTTGTGACTGATCATAAACGATGAGTGTTTTATTTATTTTCCGACGGAGATATGTACCCTTCTTAGTATCACACAAAATAACCAATGAAATGAGACAGTATCTCTGGAAGCCGGCAGCTCCCGCTCCATTTCGCTGCTATGTGCCTCTTCATACTCTTCGACCAAATAAGGCCTCTCAGGTTCAATTTGAAAAGAATGACAAGTAGAATATCCACCACTTGCAACTCTTCCTCCCTAATAAAACTTTGTTATTACGGAGACAAAGACAATAATACGAAGTACACAAAGACAACCAAAAAAATCAACTTAAATAATCAACTCACCTCAGGAACACTCGTCACCCCATCTCGAGCAATTTCACAGATAAAATTTTCATATCGCTTAGTCCACTGCTCAGTCACGAATTTGTAGTAAGGTCTACAGATTTCCAATTTTTGTCTTTATGTTTGCTCAGTTTCAATTTCGTCCCTTTCTTAATCTTTGGACACAATGTTTTGAATTGCGACTTCTCCAATCCTAATTGCTTAAAACACACATCCGGACGATTATACGCACCTTCATTAAAGCACGAACATGGTGTGCGTGAAAAGACCATAGGTAACTGAGATGCATACTTCTCCGACAGTTTAAGGTCACGATTTTTATAAGGCTGCCACACCACCTATGAAATTATTTAGTGAAATATTTAGTTAAAAATGATATATATTCAATTTATAACGATATATATTCAATTTATATGTATTTAAAAACAGAAACAAGAGTTTTAGGTCTTACGTCTTTTTCTTTCATCTCTTGAAGCTTCTTTTGGTAGTCTTCCACAGACGTTACGTTCTTCGTGTCTGTATTCGGTTTACTCAACGCCTCCATCCACCCCAAAATCAAGGGAAATCCGGATGGTAGAGGTGATGATCCACATCTTTCTCTAAGGTCTGGAAACCGCTCTAATGCAAAAACCTGTAAGAAAAAGATAAAGAACAATAATTGTCATTGTACATCATTGATTTATTATGAATCATATTAATTACCTTTTGTTTTTTAAAGAACTTACCGTGAGAGCGTACGAGAAACCACATAAGCTTGTGAATTTCTCAGTTGTCTTCACTTTTTCTAGAGCTTCTTTCATATTCGCCAACATAGCTGCCCCCCAAGCATAGTGGTTGACATCATTCAATCCAAGAAGAGGTAGGTACATGGGAGAAAAAGAGCTGCTGTTGTTTGGGAGAATGACTTCTCCCAACAATAAGAGGAGATAAGCCTTGAAATAAGGCTCTAAGTCAACCTCATTCCCTTGTGGTACCATCTCAAATTCCAGCTTCAATCTTGAGAGATCAATACCGGAATTCTTCATTAATGACTTAGCCCGCTCTTCAGTTATCTGAAAATGATGCATGATTGTATTCATGATGTTTTCACTCTCTAATCCTGAAACCTGTATTCAAATTGGGCATTAGAAATCGAATAACTAAAACTAAAGATATGTTGAAGTAAAAGAAAAGATAAATACCTGTTCTCCATCAATTGGAAGACCTGTAATATATAAAACGTCTTCTAGACCAAAATCGATATCCATCTTAGGATTCCCAATGACGAAATGATCTTTACTCTCATCATACATCGAGGCAAGGGCAGTAAGAAGATTACTATCTTGCCTATAAAGATCATTTTTGAGTTTCAAAAACCACCGAAAACATGTGGATTCCACAAGCTCAGACCCACTCTTGGGTCCAATTTCCAAGCCAGAAACGTGTGCATATGCATTTTCATTTCAAGCGTTTTGAAACTCATGGTGTTTAAAGCAAGTGTTCCTACATAAAAATCAATATACAATCAATATACAACATAAAAAGCTTTCAGAGAATTATCAGCTTTCAGAGAATTCTTAAAACTGACAAATTAGATACAAATAGAAACACACATCATTAGCCTATGTAAATATCCAAACGTATCTTCTTCTAAAGGGTTCAGTATAAGCTTTTATAAGCTTTTATAACGCTTAACGCTTCGTCAGTTCGTCTGAAGGGTTTAGTATAAGATTTTATAAGATTCTGTTATAAAAAAAATTATAAATTTGATAAGCTTTCATTGTAATACGTTTCACTACAAGAATAATGGGTTTTTATAGCAGTATAACATAACGTTTGTGGGTTAAATGCTATGGTTATGAAACCACTTTATTAAAGATAGCGTTTGTGTATTTTTAAACGCTATTATATATTGTAATATTAAAATTTTTTGTCACGTTTTTTCTAAAACGCTTATTAATAGCAGACCGCTAATTTAAAACGCTATGATATGGTTAGGCGGTAATTAAGAAACCCGCGATACTTAAAAATTTCATTTGGCTCCAAAAATTTTCTAAGTGTCGAAAGAAAAAAGAAAGAAGAAAATAGAGAAAATAAATTCTTTAGATCTGAAACTCGATATGAAACTTTTGGCTATCTTTTGTTCAAAGAGAAAAAGAAAAAAAAAAACTTTGGCTATCTCCTCTCTCTTCTTTCTCTCTGAAACGCAGCCCCTTTCTCTCTGTCTCTCACCCAGCCGCTCAATCTCTGTCTCGCGTCTCGCTGTGTCGATCCTCCAGCTCTGTCTCGTTTCCTCCTCTTATACTTTCACATCTTCCATCGTTGTATCGATTTCGTTCCCTCACTCTAAATCCTCAATCTCTGTCTTGATATATCAATCTCAGTCTCGTTCCTCTATCAATCTCTTTATTTTTACCTTTCAATCTCTGTGTTGTTCTTTGGTCTATGTCTCGTTCTCCCACTCTCAATCTCGTTCCCTCTTCTTAATCGTCCTCATCTTCATCGGTGTAAATCAAATTGTTGTTGTCGAATTTGACATATAAGGTGAAATTGTGTTTGAGTTTTCGTTATTTGCACAGATTTAAGATTAAAATTTACAGAATTGGGTATTAATCCATCGATTATTTTTCTATTTTGCAGGAAGAGGCAGGGAACATCCACTCAAAGGTATTCCCGGGTTTCAATTTGAAGGTTTTTTTTTGTGAGTACTGAGTAACCGATTTCTAACTGATATGTATTTGACTGTGATTGTAGTTGATTTTCGCACAAAGGAGAACTATCAGGTATGTGAGATGTGAGTGAATAACTATGACATTACAAAGTAGAATACTATGTATAAGCAACGACATGAGACATATGGAATGGCTTGACTTATATTGACTTATATAGACTTACATAAAAATGAGTTTAATAGATTGACTTTTTGATGTGCAGATGCTTTTATTTCCAATTGAAATAGAGCCAAGTAAATATTGGCTTAATAGAACTAGTCACGAGCTGCAAAACTACTCCTTGGAGTGGTGTTCTGTTGAAGCCATAGCCAGCGTAATTTCCTAACTCTCTATAGTTATATGTCTTCCCTTTTGTAATGTGGAATTTTGCAGCTCTACTTCATTGATTTTAAAATGGGAAGAATCAACTGTGACAACAGCTTGGACTGATTTGGTTTTGGTTATTATGCAGGACGGTATGACACCATTGCACCTTACTGTATGGTACTCAATTACTTCGAAAGGAGATCAAAAATATGTTGCCTTTAAAAAAAAAAAATAAAAAAAAAATATGTTGCCTTTAAGCAGGTTGTAGAGCAACAATTATGGGAAGGAAGAAAAAACCAATCAACTTATTCCATCCTCTTCTCGCCTAACTCTACTCTCTATAATCACAATTGTAACATGTCAAGTATTATGAGTCCCTAAAAAATAGTGCTAAAAGTCTAACCTACCCGAGCCACTACATTGTATTCCTATGTGATCATCAGATTTTTGGGGGAATAAATTATAGTTTGCATGTGTATATTGATTGGAGATTCTTGAGATCGATAATCAGTAAAATAAGCTTTAGTATATAGTTTTCATTGTGTAAATCTCTGTCACATGTACTCTTATCATCTGTATAAATAAAATATTTCCAACAATCTTACAAATATAAATTAATAATACACAAAACATAATTAAAACTACACATAAAATAAATTTTAATTCATCATTATTCATATACGTTCCATAGTTTGTTAATAATATACTATCAAATAATTTTAAACCAGAAAAATTGGTGTTTGAAGATTGTTGGAAATATTTGATGTATACAGAATTAGTTATATTTTATATCGATATATATACATGTATATATAAAAGTAACAACAATCTTACATATATATATAGTGATTCGGAACACAAAATTAAAATATATATACAAGTAACAATGGAATACACAATTAACTAATGCATCATATAATAAAATAATTATAATAATGTCTCATAGGTTCATAATTTGTAAATAAAATTTCAGTGAAAAGTTTTTAATGCTTTTTATTGCATTTTATTTTGTTAATTGAAAACTAGTGAAATGTGTTTCAAGATTAAACCCTAGACCCTAAATGGTTTAGGGTTTAGGGTTTTAGGGTTTAGAGTTCAATCTTGAAACAAATTTCACTATTTTTCAATTAACAAAATAAAATGCAATAAAAATTATTTTGTAATAATAATAAGTTAATAACATATAATGAGAATAAATATAATATTATAAATATACAAATTAATTATAAAAATTGGTAAGTTGTAACTTGTTAGTATTATTTCATCAATAGTTTACATTGTGCTTTACGGTTTTAATTTTTAAAATTTTTAACTTACAAATGTTAAAAAAGTATTATGATCATAATATTTTCCATTTCATAAAAAGTTTTATTACAAATAAAACCAAAACCTATGTATTTTTTACTTAGTATTTTGTTCAGCGCCACGTCATCGATCCCTGCCATCTATGGAGCAAAGTAATACAAACCGTCCGATTAAAAGATAATCAATGGTCAATATGACAAGTACACTACAGATCCTTGTTTCACCTTCTCTTTTTTCACAATCATCTCTCATCACCGAACAACTATCATTTTCCTTCAATCCTCTCTTTTGTTTATTCATCTCACCCATCGTTTCTTATTCTTTTTCACTCGATTAGTGACAACTCACAGTTCTCACTCGAGCTCCGACAATATTCCTACAGACTCAACTCACATTTTTCTCATGATTGACTCAAATCCTCCATGTCGATGAAGAAAGCCGACTCAACTCACCGTTCTCTCAGAATATGTCAAGGTTTCTTTTCACCATATCTTCTCTCTCTATCACTCTAGATTTCTGGATTCTTAAAATAGTAGGGATTTGTTGCAGATAGAAGAGATCTGATCAAGGAATTAAGAAGTGGCTTGCGGCGATGGAAAGGGCAAATCTTTTGTTCGAGCCTTCGCGTGAGTTCTCCTCCACTTCCTCTTTGCTGATTTGGAGATTCAGTGTCGAATTGTATGTAATTTAGCATTTCATTGGGAATTTGGCTAACAAGTCTTCTTTGTGTGGCCTGAAATTTTTTTATCCAATACTTTAATTGAATCGAGTATCAAATTAGTTTCGAGTTTGGAATCCCACGAGAGCTTGATACCTTCGCTTGATTTTCTTTGACTTCGTTTATATGGGAGAGTCTCGATTGATGTTCTTATGTGTGTTTGTGTAGCATATTAAGGTCAGATTAAGCTTGGATCTATGTGTATTTCTCAGATCTTGTTGCTAATAGTTTGGTACTTTTGCAGGTTTTAAGTTTGAGAGGAAGAAAGACGCACGGTAGCAGTTGTAGAGGGAATCTCTTACTTTCTCGTGACCTAAGAATCACACAAGAGTGTGATCGTCAAAACGCATAGCAGATGATCGTGAAGCTAACTGGGCCTCATTTGCACCACTCGGCCCGTATCCAGAAAACCAATTTGATCCAATTGACTAAAGCTAAATCGTATACACAGTTTGGTTTCAATTCGTGTGTTTAAAGTACAAGAGTTCTATTGATCAATCTTTAATATGTACTTTCACTTTTTAATTCTGTATTTTTACTTTGTAATATAATTTTTTATATTAAGATTCATATAATATGATATTTTTAATGTCAATTTATCCAAAAAAGTAATAAATACTAAATTAAATATAATTAAAAATTAATAAACTGAAATAATGTATATAATTTGTACAAATACTTTATTAATACAATCTTGTATAAAACAAAAATATAGATAAATTAATATAATGCTATAATAAATTAATAATAAACATAACATTGCCTAAAACGTTGTTAATAATATTATTAATAACAACATAACAACGCTATTATATTATATTTAATTGCATTTAATAAAGCGCTATTGTATAGAACAATAACATAGCATTAAGAAAAAACGCTATCTAAAGTGTCTGACCTATTATGACGGGCGCAGAAATAACGCTTGTCAAAACGCTATAGAATCGTTAGATAGCGTTATTCAGATGCTACGAAAAGCCCTTTTTCTTGTAGTGTTTTATCAGATGTTTGATTTCTCATATACGCTTCAATTTGATACATATATCATTTACTGGAATGCTCAGGACAGCCGAGGGCACTGGATTGAAGGTGATCCTCAAGTGTGAGCTCTCAGATGTATATGCAAACATTTGGTACTGATCGAGGATCAGTCATTCATGATTCAAATTCTCTAACAAGCATGCACTTAAAAATGACAAATTAGATACAGAGAGTAAACAAATTTTGCAATTTGGATATCAACACTGAAGCTAAGATGTCGAGATTAATACTGAAGCAAGGATGCGAAATCGAAAGTGAAGCAAGCAATTTGGATATCTACCTGAGGAAACGAAGTCACCAGATGCGGATATCTACCTGAGGAAACGAAGTCACCAGATGCGAAATCGAAATGTCGAGATACTGAGGAAACGAAGCGATTCAATAGTACTCAATTTCTGAAATTAACACATCTTAGTGGGTCCACTTGAGCCTATCAATAGTACTCGATTTGGGCCTTCAAGTTGAGCGAAATATTTTAGTTTTATTTCATTTTGGGCCTTCAAGTTTTACTTCTTTCCCAATTTTAAAACTTTTTTTTTTCTCTTAAACGCAGAGCTCCGTCCTAGAGATTTTCCTTTACATCTAGCACAGAAGGTGTTTGATTAAATTCCTCACAGAACATCTCTCTTTCACTAGGCGACTTTCAAGAAGAGAGGGGGAAGTTGAACATAATGAAGGACTACGATGAGAGAACAATTTGGACATGTGACCATCTACCTCTTATGACGTCATATAACAAAGGTTTGTTAGTTTCTTTGCTGGTCAGACTGAGCTCGGCTCATGCTCTTCTTAGTTTTCATTGAAATATTTTGTCTTGGGGTTTTCAGGCAAGATGCAACATTCTGTGTGGAAAGCCGAATTTATAGATTCAAACCTTGAAGCTTCTGCTTCATGTTCAAGCGGTGTTGTTCCTGATGCTGTTTTCCCAAAGCGGGTCGCAGAATATGGCAAGCCAAAGGTGCTAAGAAAGCTGCATCTAAGGTGACAAATCCATCTGATGTTTTCGTTGTTGGTCGTGCTATCTATATTTGAGGAAAATTGTTTATGTATTTTGCTAGGCTGCTGGACAAGTTTTACCATGATTTTTCTCTCATCCTTAAGAAAGCCATCTACGATTAAAGATCTCATACACGTCTAGTTTCACTATATCTTAAAATTAAAGATCCAACGCTAATTGATATTTGACTGCATAATGTTGTGTAGGATATATAATTGATAAAGATATGGTAGAAATGGCTAAGGAGATGATTAAACATTGTGGAGGACTACCATTGGCTGTCAAAGTGTTAGGAGGGTTGTTAGCTGCACAACACACATCGCGTCAGTGGAAAATGATATCTGAGAATATTAAAGCTCACATAGTTGAAGGGCGGATTAGTTCCAATGATGACGATAGCAGTACGGTTAATCATGTTTTGTCTTTGAGCTATGAAGGATTGCCTAGTCATTTGAAGCACTGCTTACTCTACCTAGCCTCTTTTCCAGAAGATCATAAAATAAAAATAGACAGATTGTCTTATGTCTGGGCTGCAGAAGGAATAACAAATCCTAGGCATTACGATGGAGCTTCCATTCGACATAATGCGGATCTCAACATAAAAGAGTTAGTGAAGAGAAATATGGTTATTTCTGAAAGAGACGTGTTTATTTCGAGATTTGAATATTGTCAGTTGCATGACTTGATGAGAGAGATTTGTTTGTTAAAAGCCAAGGAAGAGAGCTTTATAAAGATTGTTAGTGATCCAGCCAGCAGATCACGTAGACTCGTTGTGTTCTGTACAGACACTTTTAATGGAGAGAGGGACATTGAGAATTCCAAACTTAGATCTCTCTTGTTTATTCTAGTTTCGTATCGGTTTGCGATGAGATCAGACTTCATGATGTTACCATTGTTGAGGGTTTTAGATCTCAGTAGAGCTAAATTTGAAGGAGGGAAGTTACCCTCTAGCATTGGAAAGCTCATCCACTTGAAGTATTTGAGTTTATATATGGCATATGTAACTCATCTACCTTCATCTTTGCGGAACCTGAAGTCGCTGCTCTACTTCAATCTAGAAATTTATAATCCTCGAGGTGACGCGCATTACGTGCCCAATGTCTTCAAAGAGATGCTAGAACTGAGATACTTCTCGTTACCAAGGAGAACAACTAGTAGGACAAAGTTGGAATTGGGTAATCTAATCAAATTGGAGACGTTGAAGAATTTCTCAACAGAGAATAGCAATGTGACGGATCTTCACTGTATGAGAAGGCTAAGGAGTCTCCAGATCTTAATCAGTGGCGAGGAGTGGCGTATGGAAACTCTATCATCAACTCTAAGTAAATTGGGACACTTGGAACGTCTACTTATAAAATCTCCCAAGAATTCTGTTCATCTCAAGCACCCAAAGTTGATATATAGGCCAATGTTACCTGACGTGCAACATTTTCCTTCTCATCTTACAACCATATCTCTAAATGGTTCTCGTTTGGAGGAGGATCCGATGCCAATTCTAGAGAAACTGCTACAATTGAAATGGGTTTCTTTATGGGAGAACGCTTATGTTGGGAGGAGAATGGTTTGCTCCAGCGGTGGGTTTCCTCAATTGCATGGGCTCTCAATAAGCATACTAGAGGAATGGGAAGAGTGGATTGTAGAAGAAGGCTCCATGCCACAACTTCATACAGTATTCTTTGATATCAATAAGGAAAAGTTTAAAATATAAAATTTTATTGGGGTCAACTAACCCCATTAACACCTATGTAGCTCCGCCCCTGTTCATACTCCAAGAATTGAATACTGTAAGAAATTAAAGGAGCTTCCAGATGGACTGAGATTTATCACTTCATTACAGGAATTGAGTATCCTCACAAACGAAAGAGAAATTCAGAAGAAAAACGAAAGAGAATTCCAGAAGAAGGTATCCAAAGGAGGAGAAGATTACTATAAAATCCAACACATTCCTCTTATTCGATATGGTGATGGTTTTTAGCCTCTCAAAGGCTCTATCTTCAAAGCTCTTTGTCATCGACACCAACTCACAAAAACATATCAAGCAAAGTATGGAGAAGAATAAGAGAAAATTAGAGAGCAGAAGAAAATAAGCTCTGTGTTTTTATTTTATTTTTCTTAATTATCGTGTTATTTGTCCCGTAAACCATTGTTAAAACAATGTTACTTGGTCTGCTTTCTGTTGTGTTTATCCAATTGATTACCTTTTTGTTACACTTTTTTTTAGTTAATTACACGTTATCAATTGTTTATATAATGTTTAATTCGGTTTAATATTTGAAAAAGCGAACTAACAAAGAAGAATTCATACGCAATGTGAACAACTTGAATTGGAAGAATGCATAGTAGAAGAAGGATCAATGCCACTTCTTGTGACTCTGGTTATTGGGAAATGCCAAAAAGTCAAAGGAATTTCCCTGATGGTTTCCGGAATTAAGATACATGACTTAATTTGTGAAAATTAAGAACTCAATTTGTGAAGAGTAAAATGGATAAACAAGTTGTCTAAAGAAAGAGAAGATTACAACAAAGTCCAACATATTCCTTGTGTTTTATTTCTCTGGTGTAGATGAAGAATGAGTGATTTCATAAACAAAGTGCCAAGTAAAATAAAATTGTCTTTCCGAGTCTTAAGTACACAAGTATTCTTAGCGAGTGTTCCGTATTGGTTAATCAGTTTTTTTAGTAATCTTAACTTTGTATTTCAATTTCAATGTCATAGATAAACAAAAAAAAAATACATAAACAAACATGTCATACAATCATACAATCATTCATATAATACATAAAGTTAAGAAAAATCTCAAAACAAAAATTTTGCATATATTGTGATTCGAAATTTTAAAAACGGACATATATTACCCAATTGATAAAAAAAAAAGGTGTGTGTTCAACGTCCCACATCGGCTAAAATGTTTAGACAATAATTCTGAATCATATTATAAATAAGATCGAAATGATCAAAAAACATTTGAAACGCTCTAAGGCTCTAATATCGAGGAAGCTAACCTAACCTTGCTTTCCGACGCCGGTGAAGTTCCAGCTCGCCGGCGTCGGGTTTTGTCTCTTCCTGTATGCAACTTCTGCAACTTTTATTCAGTTTTAAGTTTATTTTGGCCCATGTCTCAATCATTTGAAACTTCTGTTCTCTTGGCAAGCTTCGAAGACGGCTCAATCGACAGTGACAGAGGACGAATTTAACATCTGTAAGAACTTACCTCCTCTAGACTTCGTTGATGGCAAGAGTTTCTACTCTTGGACCGTCAGTTGCGCCACGTTCAGGGGAGTCCTCGACGGTGCACGGCGCGGCCTTTTTCTGGGTGGAGAGCTTCTACATTGTAAAATCTGAAACCCATGTCAAAGCAATCCTATACACTTGTGGTATAAAAATATGATGTTACAACAATGCTACTCCTTGGAGAAACTTTCACTACCCTCTTCAAATATGTAGAGAACTCTCTTACCGAGCTATTCATGGTTTCCTACTTGTAAGGTGAGAAACCGCCCAAGACTCCTAACTACCTCGTCATGGTTCGTGCCGGCGACCTTTGAGGCTAGCTAAGGAATCTTTTTAAATGTCACATGATCTATTGATAATAACTACTTATAATCTCCCCGAAAAATTTAATCATTTTACTATTATATCACAATAATTAGTTACGCCGATTTTGTTTTGTGTATTTTTATTCGTTAAAATCCAAATACTATGAACAATTTTTAACTTTAAAATAATTTAATTTTCGAATTAGATCGGATCAATATTATTAGGATAGATATTTTAACCGAACCGAACCAAACCAACTAAAGTCAAACCAAACCATAACTTACATACAAACAATAACCGATAACCCACTATGTTTATTTATTTAACTAAATTAAAGTATTAAATATAATATTGTAAATACTGATATTGGATTGTCTAAAGAAGAAGGTACAAAGATCGTTTAGAAGTTAAAAGCTCTTGATGCTAAAGCTCTTTAGGAGTGAAATCATCAATTTGTTGTTAAGGTATGTGTTACTTTAAAGCTTCAAATTTTCTTCCCCATCTAAAAGCTCAAGATACAAGCTGATTAAAGGGTTTCGTAAAGTCATAGGTTACACTTATTCTTTCTCATTGCTAAATAGGGTTTTAGAGATGAATCTTTGCTACTTCAAGATGTATGGTCATAGGTTAGGTTTGTAATATTATATTTTTTTTTTTTACTTCAATGCTTTATGATTCTTTACTCCTAAGAGTATACGATTGCTAAATTGGTTTATGTTTCTTTTTTATTTTAATAGTAGAAATTCACAGCAGTAAAGAACCTTACACTCTTAGGATTATAACCTCACATTTGATCTGTTCTATGATCTTGTCTTCTTACTTCAAGATATATGGCCAAACCCAAATCTCTATGTTTCTCTTCTAACCGTATCTTGCTTGCTTCACTTGATCATCTGCATATAAAGCGTAAAACTTTGTTAGTTCCTGTTCAGAAATAAAATCCACAAAAGAGAAATGGTCAAATTATTCTATGTTGTAACCATAGAGGTGTAGCAAGTGAAATTTGCAATTGCAATTTATCTACTCTGTTCCAAGAACACTTAATGGTAAAATATAAGTTTAGTCAAAAAGACAAGGAGAAAGATGAGATTCCAAGACTCCTTTCAAATGCTAAGAACCATATGATCATAATTCTATAAATGTTTATCTTTGAACATTCTAATTTTAAGTCACAAGCCAAGTTATATTAACCAATGTTTATAAACTGTTTAGCCTATTCATTTAAAAAAAAAAAACTTATAACAAAGCATGGTCCATCTTTTTTTTATTTCTATATTTTCATGTAATTTTTGGAACTTGTGTTTAGTGAACTTTATTTAATAAGTTTCATTGAAGTAATGTATTCTCATAAAAAAAACATATATGAATTGAAATCCTGACTGTTATGATGTTTCTCAAGAGAGATTGATGTCTCTCGTGGTCGACAGACTGATTGATTCCAATAATAAAGTCAATATAACAAACTTTATTATTTTTAAGAACAAAGATGAAAGACATGTTGTCAAGCTCTTAGACAAATAAACAGATTTATAATCATATTCTAAACAGATCCTCTTTCTTTTTTTATTTTTGTTGCAATTATATTGCTTTGGTTTTGATAAAACAATAAAAAAAAATTAAAAATATCTCGCAGCGTAGCGCGGGTTTCGACCTAGTATCTTTAATTGTAGTTACGAAAAATGCGCTATCGTAATATGCTATCAATGCTCATATTTCTTTTAGTGTAGTTATTATAAAACGACAAGTAGTTGATTTTGTGAAATGACAACAATATATACGCCAAGGACACGTGGCAAAAGACCTAAAACGTTCTCCTAAGTCATTATTATTGATGTGCCGTTTAACTTGTTCCACACCATAAAGAAATAAAAATAAAAACTCTTCAAATTCCATCGAAATGATAATTTATGTTTTTCTTTAAACTCTTTGAACTAGAGGTGGTGGGCTAGTGGTTCTAGTCTGGTGGAAGAGTGGCCCTGTTGGTCTAGGCCAGGGATCGATTCTCCCCAGACGCAGAATTGCTTAGTTTTATCTTTTTGGCCACATGGGTATGAGCCCATTGTTTACGGCCCATTTGAAAACCTGGGGGAGACCCTACCCGTGGGACACCCTCTCCCCAGGGATTAGTTCTAGACCCCTGCATAAGTCTGAGATTTACCCTGAGTTACCAAAAAAAAATAAAAATAAAGGAAAAGCTTTTAGGGCCTAACCATCTCCTATTTATATGTATAGTAGACCTAAACCCAATACGTTTTCAACTTTTGTCAAGCCTCCCTCCCATATTTTGTTTCGATATGAAGCGTCGTTCCTCGGAAGATGGAAACACTAGTAAATCGCCAAAGAGGCAAGGAACACGCTCGGGGACGGGAACATTGCTAGATCTTGATGTTGATTGTCCTATTTGCTACGAGCCACTGACTATTCCTTGATTTAGGTTACGTTTTGATTATTACATTGTTAATTGAATTCATAGATTTTGATATGAATTTGATTGCACCTCCTTGGTTTTAAATTTCAGTGTGATAATGGACATGTAGCTTGCCGGTTTTGCTGGCCCAAACTTGGGAAAAAAACGTCCTGCATGTGCTTTACCCATTGGTAACAAACGTTGCATAGCAATGGAGAGTGTTCTCAGATCAGTCATTGTCCCATGCCGAAATGCAAAGTTAGGTTGCACTGAGAATATTCCTTATGGGAGAGACTCAAATCATGAGAAGAAATATTGCAGATTCTCTCTATGTTCTTGCCCTGAAATCAAAGAATGCAATTACACTGGCTTATACAATGAGATCTTATTCCACTATCTAGTATCCCACCTTTTAAAGCCCGATTGTTTTTTCACCTTTGGTGAACCGAGGAATGTGCGGATGGCGATAAACGATAAGAATTTGGTTCTTATGACGCTTCCAAAGACTTTATTGTTCGTTGTGCAATGTTTTAGAGAGCCAAATGGTGTTTATGTGGCTTTAAATAGTCTTGCACCATTGGGTCCAGAAGTGGAGAAGTTCTCATATCGAATCTCTTACTATTTTGATGGAGGTACTTGTAGTCACAAATTGCCGGAGATGAAGAGGATTCTTGAAGTGAGTTATCAAACCCCTCAAGATAAAAATTTCATGTTTGTTTCTAACAGTTTATTGTGTGGTGAAGTGTTGGAGATGGAGCTTTGTATATCGGAAATTAAATAATGAATGAATGTATAATTAGGTCTGGTTTGGGATTTTGAAGATGTCTAAGTCTCTTTGTAGTTTTTTTGTTTTTTTTAATTATCTATGACATTGATGTTAATTTAATGATGTTTTGCCTTCTTACATTTGTGTATCATGTTCAAGATAAAAGAAGAAGAGATTTTGATGAATTTTTAAGTAACAAAAAAAAAACAAAACAAAATAAAGCAAAACCAAACTTTTAAATGAGTTTTGATGTATCATGTTCTACTACACATAGTCCAAGTTCGGTTTGGGTTTGGTTTGGTATTCGGTTTTCTCGAATTGATGAATTTTAGTCCATTTATTTTTTGTACCACCTCTAGTTTGCTTCAGTTCATTCTTTTTTTTTTTTTTTTGACGTCTAGATTTATTATTTATTACAAATTATGAGAAAACTGTTACATAGACGATTCTACAACGGACAATTCCTTCCGACCCTTATTAGATCCACAACAGACGACACTTCCTTCTCCATGCTCTTGATGGATACTTTCAATGATCCACGATCTGACGACACTTCTCTCTGCGTAGAATCCTGGCGAACGGCTATAATTGTACTTCGCTGGAGATCTCCTGCACACTTGCCTCCTTTAATCTGCAAATTTATTAATAAATCGTAATATCTGGGAATCGAACCCTAGACCTCTTGGTGTAGAAGTATTAATTAACCCTTGGTCAACCAATGGGTCAAGGACTTCCGCGCTTCAGTTCATTCATGTGTTGATAAATTTATCCAAGCATAAGTAAAAGAAAAAGAAAATCTATAACTGTAAATATTTGAAAATGATTTAAAGGAATTTCAGTTTGTTTTTTTATATAATAAGAAAAATAACAAAGTTTCTGATTAAAAGTCTCATTCTCAATAAATTAAAAACTGAAGAAGCTTTGAAGATAAGTGACAGAGACTAGAGTTTGTAGCCGCAACGCAGAGCTAGTCCTTGTTAAAGAAGTTATAACCTAAAAACATAAATACTCAAAAACTCTGAAATTTTCAACTTTTGCAGTGCCAGTTTCTTAGAAGTGGTCCTCCTCCTACTTATTTATTTTACTTTTTTACTTTTTACCTTTAGATGTTGACACTTAGAGCCAATGATCGTTGACCAACAGAAACCATCTTCATCACAATAAACTAGTGTGTTGTCCTCAGAGACTTACCTGCTAAAAAAGCTGACAAAATCGAGATTTCTCTGGCCACCAGAATCTTTGCCTCTCTCTCCATATATTGTATGTATCTATACTCTCTCATAACTCTTTTTATACCACATTTTTGTTGTTTAGAGTCCCAAAAAACATAAAAGAAGTTCAAAGAAAGATCAAAGTCCAGAAATCAAGAAATGCCAAGAAACGTCTATGAACCTTTGAAGGTATAAAAAACATATCACTTCTCTCTTTTCTTTAGACACAACCATTCTTCTGTTTCAAATGTTTTTTTACTTTCCAACATTGAAACCTCGTTTTTGGTTTTATGTGACAGACATATTTTCTCAAAGTTAACATCAACTGCCAAGGATGTAAGAGGAAAGTGAAGAAAACACTTAGAAAAATTGAAGGTGAGCAAAAAAAACAGATCATAAGATTTTATCAAATGCAGATTTTTAGTTTTTTATGTTCTTTTTTTTGTTTCAGGTGTTTACTCTGTTGATATAGACACAGATCAGGAAGCAGTGATCGTTAGAGGTAACTTAGATCCAGAGATTCTGGTCAAGAAGTTGAACAAAAGAGGGAAACATGCTCAGCTTATGTTCTTGACACCTTACCATAAGGACCAGTACTTTGGTAATCATCAAGCTGGTCTTAATCATGACAACAGAAGCTTGGGGAACACACAATACAATTTCGGAAGTAATCACAACAATGTCCCAAGTTACGAAAGGCAGAGTCTTCTTAATCATCAGAGTGATGAAGAGATGATGATGATGATGAACATGAAACCTGTGATGATGAACGATGCAGATTACTTCGAAATGAGTGATTCACCTGAAGATTTCCAAGAGCTATTTGGAGAAATACCGCAAAGACACAACAACAACTATGGAGAAGTGAAACCAAATCTGATGAGGGACATGGATCTTGGATATTCTAATGCATACCCTGCAACAGAAGCAATGAACATGCAGATTGGAGGAAGAGTAAATAATATGATGGTGACTGAGAGAGGTTTCAATGGTCAGATGATGAATGAGAGAGGTTTCCATGGTCAGATGATGACTGGTCCATCTCTTGTTCCTCAGTCTATGAATCATGAACAGTTCAGCTCAAGACCACTTCAGTCTATGAGTCACGAACAGTTCAGTTCAAGACCAGTTCATGGCTTTTACTACTGATTGAAGAAGTTAGTGGATAAAGTTAGCTTAACTATATGTGTGTTTTCACTTTTCACTACTTGAGAGTTTATTTCAAGCATAGTAGTATAGTCTTTTCTTGGTTCAATGTTGTTTAGAGTGTTAAAGAACAAAGTATGTTACTACATTAGCTAAAAACTATACTTAGTACTGGTAACAATCTTAAAGCTAAATCATCAGCAGAGTTATGCACCCATATTATCAAATTTCCCTTTGAAACTCCATTATTGCAATCCCCATTGTTATGGCCCATGAGTTTTATTCAGTTCGTTGGCCGAGTTCGGTTTGGTTAATCACTTAAGAGAGCTGAATGCAATACGAGTTACCGATTCGTATCTGAAAGAGAGAGGAACAGAATGCATATCTCCGCTCCATCTTTTCTCATGTTAACATATTAACACCAGCAAAATGATAGAAAGATAAGTACACAAACAAAACAGCCAAAACAATCGTCTGTCTAACGGCTGTTTTAAATGAGTTATAGGAGCTCTTGCACGTCCTATTGCGCTGAAGTCTGTACTCTTTTATATGCATAAAAGAATTGTGCAACATAATTATTGTATCCCCAACATAGAGATCTCAACTAACTTACCCATAAATCATCAATGTTTTCTTATTGTAAGATATATATGTTACATTTTCACCTGCTTCAGCTGTATTTCTCAGCTTTCAGTTCGACATTTGGGTTGCGAATTTCTTCTTGGCTTTGTATTAATCTAATCTCCAAACTGCTTGAGGTGGGATCATACCCAGCGCGTTTGTAATCATCAAGTGTCCTTCGCAGAAGTGCCTGGTCACCATAAATGGAGTTATTCAATCATTAGTTTTCATGTCATCCAAAGAACAATAAGCGCATACAAATATTAGAATACAGAAACTTTGTGAGTAGTAACAATACATTGTAAGAGAATTTGGTAGCTTTACGAGTTTAAAATATTACCTGCAACGTTGAAACTGCAAGCTCAGCTGCCTTGTCAAGGTTGTCCGGGTATTTCTGCATATTACAATTATTAATAAGAAACGTTTTGGCGTATAAGGAAAACCGATGGAGAAATATTTTGCTTTCATTTGGAAGTAAAGATGCATTACATTACTCCAACCAAGTAGAAGAGCAGTCATGAGATCTCCTGTTCCCTGCAGGAAAAGTGTATAAACTTCAGCATTTCACACGGAATTCTAACATAAAAAATATCGACACAGACGTGGAAACCATATGATTGGTATTTTATTAGCATATTCCAATTCCAGCATCACAAGTAAACATCCATTTTAGCCTTAGTGCCTCAGTACCACTGGAACAAAAAGGTTCTACTCGCCAAGCACTATCTATCAAACCCATTCACATTGGAGGTGTACTTCGTCTGTACAAACAAGTGATGAAGTACGTACCGTAAAATAAGCAGGGATTTTGTGTATCAAAATCTTGAATTGCTCAGGCTTGAGACCCTGAGGTTGAAAAACTAAGGTCATTTTATTCGGCAAAGAACTAAAAAAGCAATTGTTAAGAGTTAAGACACATTTCTGTTATTCCAAAAACCTACCTTTTCTTTCTGATGGCTTCCAATAAGTAACAGAATGCCTCCTATAGTAATGCTAGTGATCACAACCTGCCAAACATTCAAATCGTTGAAATTTTATCGAAACAGCAAAGCTAATAAGCTTCTCAACTCTTTGGAGATGAATATAACCATTTAGGGAAAGTTTCTAATGAATACAATCAGTAGAGAGAAGACTTTGCAAGCTTAGCGAACAAACCTTTGAAGGACCAGCTGCATGAAGAATAGCACAAGCTTCCCTGCCATCTTCCTCAGAATTTATCCTGTAGTATTTTAGGACTGTGATATTTTTAACCATAACAAAAAAAATTTCTACAGTACGGAATCCCTTATATCCGGTCTTCACAGTTTCAACTTAACTCAACCAGAGTGCTAAATGTCACTATCATATGAGTATAAACTTCATAGGAGTAAAATAAATGAACTCTAAAAAACAGTTCCATTCATGATACCTCACAAGCTAAAGAATGCAACATTCGCTAAATAATCAAGTACCTTAATCCTGTTAACTTCTCTGCCTCAAACTGGTTAGGAGTCAACATAGAAGCCAGGGGAACAACCTAACAAAATAATACAATTAGGAAAAAAAAATCCAACTGAACTAGTGAGTCGTTTATGCTGAGAAAAGGGTAACATATAAAGTATATTATCAACTGATCTAATTGAAGGCACAGAATAATTACTTATAGTCTCATTTTACCTTTTCACGATAAACATGTACCAATTCTTCAGGCACATACAACTTTCCTTCATCACCCATCACTGGATCACATACTATTAAGAATAGACTAAAATTAGCATAATTATACTAAGAGATCCAAAACATGGTCACATAATAGATAATACCCTCTCACTCCAGTTTTCTGCAACTAAAAATACTACCGAGATAAAGCCTACTAATGGTTATAACTGATAACAAATAGTTTAATAGTATTGCATTCAGCTCTCTCAAGTTATTAACCAAACCTCTTGAAGGAACTAAAAAGATGAAACAAAAAAAGTTTTTTGCAGGCATAACAATGCACACATGACTCACCATATGTAAGTTTCGCGTTTACAGCGCGAAGCTTATTGATAACCTCCAAAATTGTATCCAGGAATGACACTGATCCAATATAACCTGCAGTTTCAAAATATAAAGAATTAAAGAGCTAAATACAAAGTACTACTGCTTTGACAAAATGACTCAATACCAAAAGCATTGTCATATTTGAAGCATAAGAGAGTTACTATAAAACATAGCTACACTCATTTTCCAGAGATTAAAGTTCCATGATCTAAGCCAAAGTGAAACATTTAGTGTTCAAAGTGAGCTAATGCTACCTGTTAATACATGAGTGTAGAACAACAAATCGTTTGCTTCAAGACCTTCAATCAAATCACACAATTGCTGACCATTCAAAACCTGTCCTTTGAACGTAGGATACCCTGGAAAAAAAGTTTTAGTACATCTAAATCAATAGATAATGACGATACAATCCCGAAGATATGAAACAATTGTTTAAAGAACATCAGGCTCTACATTACTGTGACTGAATCTTACCAGTATGATTTGAGAATTGTACTGAGTTAATTGGATCCACATCATACCCCAACAATTGAAGAGGAAAGACAGCTGATTTGTTACCAACATATCCCTAAGAAAAGAATATACATAAAAAATAATGGCATCACATTTCTGGTAACACACAGACAAAAAAGTAGCATAACACAAAGTCACAAACACTTAAGGAACAGAGTATGATTGTTCTTCTACACATCAAAGTTCATCCTTCTAATTCAATAAAGGTTCAACCTTTATGAAAAGTCATCTAAGGAATAAAGTAGAATCTTGAATCTTGTAATCAAACAAATTCAGATTCAAATAAAAATTGAAACTTTAACACAGTTTCTAATGATAAGATAAGTAAATCAAGGAAACAAATTTCAAGAGTTCTTAACAAAACCTGAACAGTGTGGGATTGGATACTAAGAACACGACCAGTATCTGAAGGAAGAGCGAGAGATAGAACTGGAGGCGTCGTCATTCTCCGAGTTCTCGATCTTTTACCAAAACATCAATCAAAATCCAAAAAAAAGAAAAAAGAAACACAAATATATATATCAAAATTAAAAACACATTACTGAATCAGTTAATTGAAAATTAATTCAGGTTTGAGCAAAACCGGAGATTTTGATTAAGGAATCGAGGAGAAGTGGTAGTTGTTGTCGGGAAGGAGAATTGCATCAAGAGCTGACCTTTAAGATAGCTTCTGTTTGACCCATAAAGACTATTAAGTAGTATTAACTAAAAAAACTCACTGTTTTCAAAAACCGGACCAAAACCGGTTGGATTGCGAATTTGAGGACTATTCGGTTTGGTTTCTTACAGTAAACCGGACCTGAAAAATTAAGTTCTAAAACCGGCGGCTGGGGAATTTTGTCAACGAAGTTAATGTCTTCTAGATAGGGTTAATTAAGTTTTTTTTTTTTTTTTTGGTCTGGAGGTTTTATTTCTTCTTTTCAGAAAGTTAATTTCTAATTTGAATATTTGGTTGAAAAAAAAACGAATTTCATATTAGTTATTATTAATTGTTCGTAGTGGTGTACATTTTAATATATACGAGTCCGATTGGAAACATCGTTCAAACAAAGCAGTTTTGAAAAAAAATATGCGGTTGAGGAGAACATAGTTAAAAAAAAACTGTTAAAAATAGTAGAAGAGAGAACACATTTGAATTAAACGAGAACTTAACTAATGGTTATAACTGATAACAAATAGTTTAATAGTAAAGAAAATATTATAAAAATAACAAAAGTAATTTAAAATAGAAATAAAATTTTCAATTTCTTTTATGTTTAAACTTTTTTTAGTATAATATAAATAAAGAAATCTATTTTTTAAAAAAATATAAAATATTATTAGAAAAAATAAAAACAATTAACCACCCATTTGATAAATAAAGCGGTTGTAAATTCATCCTTTTTGGACGTTTCACAACGAACTTGTTTAACTTTTAACCGCATTTTTCAACAATATGTTTATATATCTGTTATATTTACTTGTGAAATTGGTAACCAAACCAGCGGTTGAACTTTCAACCACATTAAACCAGCTAAGGTACCAATCGAACCCACAAACCGAGCGGTTAACACAAATGCGATTCATTTATTAGGGCTTGTAATATTGAGAGTTCAAACGATGAGAAATGAGAATTCTGGTTAGAACAAAAGCTTGGATTAATTTCTTATAATATAATATGGCGACCGAGTAAAATTTGGATAAACGCCTAACAGAATTGAATTATAACGTATACAAAGTCGTTAATATTAAGATAATCATGGCGACTACTGATTGGTTTTTAAAATGCCTAAAGAAAAACATTTATGAGAAAATCTGAAAATGTATCGCAATCGACTGACTTTTTCACGTTTATATTTTCAACAGAATTAGTTAATTAAATTTCAACGTTGGACTTTATTAAAAAAAGAGGAATCTGAGAGAATATCAAAGCTTCACACACTAATCAAAAAGCTTTAACCAAATCCTTCTCAACATATAAATAGAAAGCGTTGCATACTTTATGAGATATATAATATAGTATTCAATTAAAATGGGAAACACTATAAGGAGAAACAAGGCGAAAGTTATGAAGATCGACGGTGATATTTTCCGGCTCAAAACTCCGGTGACGGCGAGTGACGCCACGAAAGAGTATCCCGGATTTGTGCTGTTAGACTCCGAGACCGTGAAACGGTTAGGAGTTCATGCCAAACCGCTAGAGCCGAATCAGAACTTAAAGCCGAACAAAACTTATTTTTTGGTGGACCTTCCGCCAGTAGATAAAAAGAATAAGCTTCCATACCGGAGAGTTATGTCCGGTAATATACATATTGGCGCCAAGGAGCGTTTGGAGATGTTAATGCTTTCCCGGAGAACGGTTTCCGATGTTGGTGCCGCAAGATCTACCGAAGCAGATGGGCCTGAGCTTGGACAAAGGAGGGTGAGATTAAGGCTGCCTAGGTCTCAGATCACAAAGTTAATGGGAGAGAGCCATGATGCTTCGGAAGTTGCGGCGAGAATTATCAATGCTTATATGGAGAGTTCCGGTGAGATGCAAGGCGGCAAAGATAACGATGGTCTTCACCGGAAACTTGGAATTGCGGAGATAAACAGCCATTACAAAGCACGAGAGGTAAATGTCCGATCAAGAAAATGATCAAAATACATTTGAAATTTCAATACTAAGCACTTAAGCATCACTAAACTATAAATCTTAAATTATAAACTCTAACTCCTAAAACTTTAACCTTAGTGTTATATTTTTATGATTTAAGAAATTCAACATTCATTCTAATTTAGAATGTTCACTTTAAAAATATGTGTAATTTAAAGTCTAGTACTTTGAGCTGTAGTAAATAATAGTATATAGTTTGTGTAAGTTGGTTTGAAGATGGATTACTTAAGAACAGCCTCTTAATTACTGAGCATGCTATGATGTTGATGTTGATGTTGAAGTTGAATGAGTATATAAACGAACACTTGATCAACCACTGCTTTTAATTTATGTTTACAAGTATAAACATTTGTAAATTGTTTGTTTTTTTTCCTTTTCGTTTCAATAGAGATTTAACATTTTATTATTCTTTAGGGGCATTACTTTTTTTTTTTAATTAAAAACATGCATTTTATCGGATTTGAATATAAATGGTCAATGAAACTATTACGTATACCAATAAACTACATGGAAGTAATATTCATTAAGACATTGATACATTTACTCAACTCAATTGCCTTTATAAATTTGGAATCACACGTATGATGAATTATCACTAGTATATATGATCAAACATCAAATCCACATTTAATGTATTTGAGTTTCGTTGTTTCAAACAGTACTTTTATAATTTTTTCTATGAGTATTTTTGTGAAATGCACACGCAACTAAAGTAGATCTCTGTTAAACAGAAAAAAAAAAGTAGATCTCTATGTTTGTATTTGATATTTTGTGAAATGTTGTTTCAAATAATATGCAGAAGCATGTGAGTTTCGCTGAGAAAGGAGGAAGAGGAGAGATCATTGTTTTATAACGAACAAAGCAAGAGTAGCCATCAACTATTGTCCAAGTTTTTTACCAAAAAAAAAAAAAAAAACTATTGTCCAAGATATTATATTTTAAAAAAAAAACTATTGTCCACGATATTTCTTGTACTGAAAAAATGCATTTGTTCGGACTCATATTTTATTGGGCATATATAGCTATCATCTCTAAACTTGATGTCAAAAACGAGATGAGACATTTATAAATCTTGATAGTTCTACCACAAATTTTTAATTATATATACTTTTATAAAGTTCGAGAAAAAATTTCGGAATTCTTTTTACATTTAATTTTTTTCCAAAAAAACATCTAGTGTTCAGAAATAATTGACATAACATAGGTTAGGTAGTTCGACCACGGATGAGATATAACCAAACAAGGCTGGTAAATATACGTGAGTTATCCTAACTATTTAAATTAGGAGATCACAATTCTTTCAATAAGAAAAATTCAAACAGATAATATAATCTATATATATAATGAGATAGTTCTCTTTCCATCTAGTCTATCTGCATCATCATACACCTAAGTATGCATTTAACTAAAAATTAAAAAATATAATTTATTTAAAATGTTCATTCAATACATACTTATTTTTATTTATTGTTATTTATAATTATAGAATACTTAAGTTAAAACACAAATGAATTAATATTATAAATAAAATTCAAAGAAATTAAATTTATACATATTAATATACTTTGAATTTTAGCGAAAAATGTTTAAGATTAATAATATTTAAAAATTTACAAAAATTTCAATTTTAAAATTGATATATTAAAAATGAATATGATAGATATTTCTAAAATTGTATGAAAATTGAAATATCATACATTTATTAGCTTTAAACAATATAGTTATGAATCATGACATATTTAAAAATCAATATGTTGGGTATTTCTAAGATTGTATAAAAGTTGAAAAGACATACAATTTTTAGTTTTCAAAAAGAGTGAATTAGTGATGAATCTTATGACATATTACTAATTAAAATAAATGTTGATTAGTTTATAAATGACAGTAAACAACATATTAAAATATAGCTAAATAGCATTGTGTATAATAATTGAAAACAAAACTAAAATATAATTATACATACTTTTAATTTTTAGCTTATCATAATATAATATAAAATTTTATATAAGTAAATGTATAAATGCATTTTATAGTAATATAAATATTATGCACTTATTAAAAATATAAAAGATAATTAAAAATATAATTTATTTAAAATGTTCATTCAATACATAGTTATTTGAGAAAGTTAACGACTATGCCTGAGCCAAAAAAATTTTGTTCTACCACATTGAAGGCTTGTTTATCACTCATACCACAACAGCTGTGTGTAATGACCATTTTGCTTTTCTTTTCGTGTGTTCAAATTTCTGAACAAAATTAATTGTTTGAGCACACAAAAAGAAGTTTACATACAGTTGTGTCCGAAGTTTGAGCCTTCCACAATTTCATCTTATTTTTGCATGTTACCTGGTTTTTGTCCCTTGATTTTAATTCACTGTTCTTTGATTTTAGTTCTCCTAAATTCTAATTGCGGTCTTTTCATTTTGTTTGATTTTTATATTTCGTTTGATTATTTTTCTCGAATAGGTTTATCGTCCCTAGATTCTTGTCCCTAATTGTTGCACTTTATCTGACACATCAGCTGAGGGTAAAACCGTATTTTTAATACCACAATACCACATGAATGTGGTATGAGTGGAAAAAGATTACCAAATATTGTAGAAATGGAAAGGCTTTGGTCAAATGTGGTAGATTTGACCAAATTTCCTACTTATTTTTATTTATTGTTATTTATGATTATAAAATACTTAAGTTAAAATAAAAATGAATTAATATTATAAATAAAAAACAAAGAAATTAAATATATACATAATAGTATAATTTGAATTTTAGCGAGAAAATGTTTAAGATTATTCATATCTAAAAATTTATAAACATTTCAGTTTTAAAATTGATATATTAAAAATCAATATGATAGATATTTCTAAAATTGTATGAAAGAAAGATCATACATTTATTAGCTTTTAAAAATATAGCTACGGATTATGACATATTCAAAAATCAATATGTTGGGTATTTCTAAAATTGTATAAAAGTTGAAAAGACATACATTTTTTAGTTTTCAAAAAAAAATATAGTGAATTAGTGATGAATCTTATGATATATTACTAATTAAAATAAATGTTGATTAGTTTATAAATGACAGTAAACAAAATGTTAAAATATAGCTAAATAGCATTGTGTATAATAATTGAAAACAAAAAAATATATATAATTATGTATACTTTTAATTTTTAGCTTATCATAAAGATAATATAAAATTTTATACAAGTAAATGTATAAATGAATTTGATAGTAATATAAACATTATGCACTTACTAGAAATATAAAATATCATTTTAAGAATATCAAAAATAGGTAAAAAGAGCACAATTGCAATATTGAATTTAATAAGATAGAAACAAAAAAAATAAAAAAAATAATAGAATATGAAAATATCTGAACTGAATGAAAAAATTAGTCTGAGAAAGCTAACTTCCTAAAAAGAAAACTAATATAAAATAAGATATATATATATATATATATATATATATATAGATTTTCGAAAACAAAACGCATCATTTGTTATAGCTAATTTTATTGGGCGTTAAATTTAAATTTAAGTAACCGGGCCTGGGCCGTATAAAGTTTATTGTAGCCCATTTAAACCCTAATTTCTTTTGAATAAGAGAATCGAAATCGAAGCTTTTCCATCGAAATTTTCACCTCCGAAACTGGAATTCCTCTCCGAATCGAAATCAAAGCTTTTCCATCGAAATTTTCTCCTCCTAATCCGGAAATATCTCTCCGAAATGGGAAAATTCAACACGAAGAAGAGGAAAAAACCAACCGTATGATTTCTTTCTATTTCTTTCCATATTATCGAGATGTATTTACCTGATTTCATGATTTATTTCCATTTTAAACCTTATTTCCGAATTTATTTCATTGTTAGCTAATCGATATGTATTTTCCTTTCTATTTTTTACATGATTTCTTTCTACTTCGAATTGATTTTCTAATATTATTTGATTTATATCTTTTGTCATGGTTAGGAAGCTAATGATTATGGTGAATGGGACTATGAAAATGCTTCATTGCCTAATGGTTTTAACGTTGCCTTGATCAAGCCGGCGATAACACAGTTTCTCCTAGCTAAGGGCTATTATGGTGATTTGTCTTTGACAATGGTTGTGTCTGATGCAAGCGACAGCCGAAAGATACATCGGGATACATACAGAGCATTATATTATATCATCAGCTTGATATACTCCTGGCGCAATTCTTTGTTAGTATATCAGGCTGATGATATTTCTGTGTTTCATATTGGTCTTAATTGTTTTTTATATGTTTCAGGGGGTGGACAAGTCTCTGATGTTGATATCTATCGTGAGATTCATACCTGGAACCTAGTAATATAAATAGGGGAAGATAATATCAGATTTTATTGCTTCAAAAATTCTGAGTTACATGAATGACACATTTTCATACACCGGTAAAGCTTGCAAAATTTAGCTCTTCGGTAGTGACTCATAACCAACAACACATTTTTGGATGTATGAAAAACTGAAAGTTTGGCAAGAGAATATAACCTCAATGTTCCTATGTCTAACATGCGTCCACCAATGTCTCAACTATAAATGCTTAGCTATCCAATCTCCATGTTAACTAGACTAATTAAGCAATAAAATCCCCAATGTATTATGTAATTTATTAGGCTAATTAAGCATTCAATAAAACATGCTCTATTACCAAAAAACAATTTTTTAGAATTGTAGCTTAACATCTGCGATAAAGTTAAACCAACTATTTTTCGATTTCCATGAAAATTCACGAACATTTTTTCACCCAAAAAATACACGAACTACTTTTTTAATCCATTTTAATACTCAAAGTTTGAACTGTGCATCCATTTTTATATATCTCGTAATTTTGTTTAGTTTCTAATCTGAGTTATAAAAACTAACTTATATATTCAAAGATTTTTCCTATTAAATTAGGAAAAAAATACCAAATCTAAAAATAATCTCCAGATAGCAACTCAAATTTTCATAAGAAAAAGATAAAGACGAGGATTTTTTAATTTAGTTAACATACATTATGTATATGTTACATTATGAATATTTTTTCAGATTTTAAGTATTAAAATGAATAAAATAATATTTGATGTATTTTTTTTGGGTACGTAAAAAGCTTCATGTATTGGTACGCAAAAAGTAAGCAAATATTTCATGTATTTTTATTAAAAAAAAAGTATGCAAATATTTCATGTATTTTTATGAAAAAATATTAGTTGGTGTATTTTCATTGTTTTTCCAATAAAATAAGGAATAATAATTGGATCAACACAACAGGTAAGCAAGCAGAACTTCAATTGATTGTCCGGTTTAATTTCTAACCAGCCAGAAACCAAAAATGGTTTAGTTAAACCGGAAAAGCAAAAGAAGCTATCGAGAGAGATCCATCAGATTCTCTCATCATCACCAGTCACCACATGATTCATCTTCTTCTTCATCATTCACCCACTCCACTGTTGACTCTCTACTAAATCTCGATCCTTCAACGATTCTCTCCACCAATTCAAGGTACTTTCATGAATATCTGTATTCGATGTTAATTCTTGTTGTGATTTCTCAATATCGTTGTTTTGTTAAAAGTGATTTGATTTGATTTGATTTAGCCTCATTTCGAGTTTTATCTGTTTGATTTGTGATTTATGCAGAGAGAGTGATATGGGAACTGTGATTGAAGAAAAGCTAAGATTTTGTATTGACAGAGGAGGAACTTTCACTGATGTTTACGCTGAGATTCCAGGACATTCCGATGGTCATGTTTTGAAGCTTTTATCAGTTGATCCATTGAATTACGACGACGCTCCGGTCGAAGGAATTCGGAGAATACTCGAGGAGTATACAGGGAAAAAGATACCAAGAACGTCTAAGATACCAACTGATAAGATTCAGTGGATTAGGATGGGGACTACTGTGGCAACAAACGCGTTGTTGGAGAGGAAAGGGGAACGGATCGCTTTGTGTGTTACTAAAGGGTTTAAAGATTTGTTGCAGATAGGTAATCAAGCTAGGCCTGATATTTTCGATCTTACTGTTGCGAAACCATCGAATCTTTATGAGGATGTGATTGAGGTTGATGAAAGAGTTGTGCTTGGGTTGGATGGTGATGATGATGATGATAATTTGATTAAAGGTGTGTCTGGTGAGTTTGTTAGAGTTGTGAAACCATTTGATGGAGATGGTTTGAAACCGTTGTTGAAGGGTTTGCTTGATAGAGGGATTAGTTGTTTGGCGGTTGTTTTGATGCATTCGTATACTTATCCGAAGCATGAGATTGCGGTGGAGAAGTTGGCTTTAGAGATGGGTTTTAGACATGTTTCGTTGTCTTCTGCTTTGACTCCAATGGTTCGGGCTGTTCCTCGGGGTTTAACAGCTACTGTGGATGCTTATTTGACACCGGTGATTAAAGAGTACTTATCGGGTTTCATTTCGAAGTTTGATGATGGTCTTGGGAAAGTGAATGTTTTATTTATGCAATCTGATGGAGGTTTAGCGCCAGAAAGTAGGTTTTCAGGGCATAAGGCTGTGTTGTCAGGTCCAGCAGGAGGAGTTGTTGGTTACTCGCAGACTCTCTTTGGTCTTGAAACTGAAAAACCGCTGATTGGATTTGATATGGGTGGTACATCAACGGATGTTAGCCGATATGATGGGAGTTATGAGCAAGTCATAGAAACTCAGATTGCTGGAACAATCATACAAGCGCCACAGCTTGACATAAACACTGTTGCTGCTGGTGGTGGGTCGAAACTAAAGTTTCAGTTTGGTGCTTTCCGGGTGGGACCTGATTCTGTGGGTGCTCACCCAGGTCCAGTTTGTTACCGGAAAGGAGGGGAGTTATCAGTTACTGATGCGAATCTTGTTTTGGGGTTTGTTATTCCTGATTATTTTCCATCCATTTTCGGGCCTAATGAAGATCAGCCCTTAGATGTAGCAGCAACAAGAGAAGCATTTGAAAAACTTTCAGGACAGATTAATTCATATAGAAAGAGCCAGGATCCGTCTGCAAAGGACATGACAGTGGAGGCAATAGCAATGGGGTTTGTGAGTGTTGCTAACGAGACAATGTGCCGTCCCATTCGGCAACTGACAGAGATGAAGGGTCATGAAACAAAGAATCATGCACTCGCATGCTTTGGAGGTGCTGGACCGCAGCATGCTTGTGCAATAGCCAGGTCTTTGGGCATGAAAGAAGTTCTTGTTCACAGATACTGTGGAATTTTGAGTGCTTATGGAATGGGTTTGGCAGATGTTATAGAAGATGCTCAAGAGCCATATTCAGCTGTTTATGGCCCTGAATCTCTTTCAGAGGCCTTTAGAAGGGAAACTCTATTGCTGGGAGAAGTGAGAGAAAAGCTCCAGGAACAGGGTTTTGATGATGGAAATATCTCCACTGAGACATATTTGAATTTAAGATATGACGGGACAGATACAGCGATCATGGTAAAGGGTAAAAAAACTGGAGATGGGTCGGCATTTGATTATGCTGCAGAGTTTCTCAAGCTTTTCGAGCAAGAGTATGGATTTAAACTTCAAAACAGAAATCTTCTCATATGTGATGTTCGGGTTCGGGGAATTGGAGTGACTAGTATACTAAAACCACAGGCAGTTGAAGCTGCCCCTGGTACTCCTAAGGTTGAAAGGCACTACAAAGTTTACTTTGAAGGCGGATGGCATGACACACCATTGTTTAAGTTGGAGAATTTAGGTTTTGGCCATGAGATTCCGGGCCCTGCGATCATCATGAACGGCAATAGTACAGTTATTGTAGAACCTCAGTGCAAAGCCATCATTACAAAATATGGGAACATTAAAATTGAGGTAGAGTCTGCAATGAGCAGTGTGAAGCTTGCAGAGAATGTTGCAGATGTTGTTCAACTGTCCATATTTAATCACAGATTCATGGGTATAGCTGAGCAAATGGGAAGAACCCTGCAACGTACTTCCATATCGACAAATATCAAGGAAAGATTGGATTTTTCTTGTGCCTTGTTTAGTCCTGACGGTGGCTTAGTTGCTAATGCACCACATGTTCCAGTTCATTTGGGTGCCATGTCGAGCACAGTTCGCTGGCAGCTCAAACATTGGGGTGAAAATCTGAACGAAGGAGATGTTTTGGTAACAAATCATCCTTGCGCCGGTGGTAGCCATTTACCTGATATAACCGTTATCACGCCTGTTTTTGACAACGGAAAGCTTGTGTTCTTCGTGGCTAGTAGAGGTCACCACGCAGAAGTTGGAGGCATAACTCCCGGAAGCATGCCTCCGTTCTCAAAGGCGATTTGGGAAGAAGGTGCTGCGATAAAAGCGTTTAAAGTTGTTGAAAAAGGTGTTTTCCAGGAAGAAGGAATTGTTAAACTTCTTCAATTCCCTACTTCTGATGAGACAACAGCTAAGATTCCAGGAACCAGGCGGATTCAGGACAATCTCTCGGATCTTCAAGCTCAAATCGCTGCAAACCAAAGAGGAATTTCTCTAATTAAAGAGCTGATTGAGCAATATGGTCTTGGAACTGTTCAGGCTTACATGAAATACGTTCAGCTTAACGCTGAAGAAGCAGTGAGAGAAATGCTGAAGTCTGTAGCTATTAGAGTTTCCTCGGAAACACCAAATTCCAGGGTTGGTAATTCTGTGACTATAGAAGAAGAGGATTACATGGATGATGGATCCATCATTCACTTAAAACTCACAATTGATGCCGACAAAGGAGAAGCCTTCTTTGACTTTACAGGCACAAGCCCGGAAGTCTACGGTAACTGGAATGCCCCAGAAGCAGTTACATCTGCAGCGGTTATTTACTGTCTCCGTTGTTTGGTTAATGTCGACATTCCCCTAAACCAAGGCTGCTTAGCTCCGGTTGAGATCTGGATACCCGCTGGCTCATTCCTGTCTCCAAGCGAAAAAGCAGCTGTTGTTGGAGGCAACGTTCTAACATCCCAGAGAGTTACAGATGTTGTCTTAACAGCTTTCCAGGCTTGTGCTTGTTCCCAAGGATGCATGAACAATCTCACATTTGGAGACGACACATTTGGGTACTACGAGACCATTGGTGGAGGATGCGGAGCCGGACCCACATGGGACGGGACAAGCGGAGTCCAATGCCATATGACTAACACGCGGATGACTGATCCCGAGATCTTCGAGCAAAGGTACTGAAAACATCCTGTTAGACCTCTTAGTTCTCTAACTATGAAAAACTGAATGGTCAGACTTGCACTAGACTAACACATGGGTTTTTATCAGGTACCCGGTTCTGTTGCATAAATTTGGATTGAGAGAGAACAGTGGAGGCAATGGGTTGCATAAAGGAGGCGATGGATTGGTGAGAGAGATAGAGTTTAGAAAGCCAGTGGTGGTTAGTATTCTCTCAGAGAGACGAGTACATTCGCCA